AAGAGGCAAATTCACGGAATTAATGTGCATATATTTTTAAATCGAATAATTATTGCCATATGCACCATATTGAAATATACCACCTGATGAATTCAATTAACAAAAATAAAATAGAATTTATTGTTAAATTGGTATTCAAACATATAAAAGTTCTAAAAATTTTGTTTCAAATTATAAAAAATGTGTACTATAGGTATACAATATTTTATCTTATGTATTATATCTCAATACATGGCTGCATTTTAACAATTTGACGTTTAAGTGAACCATCATCCTTCCGGTTAATATTAGTTTAATATTATCTATGGAAAGACATTTTATTTACGTTATAACGGAACTTTATACTAATAATGCATATTTTTCCATTTTCATTCATCCTTTGGTTAAACAGGGGCAATAAATAAAGGAAAAATTAATGAAATCATTAACAATTTAAAGAATATGCCTATTTACACATTAACATATGTATACTTTCAATATGGCGATTTGTCATTTCCGTGCATGATAGAAATACGATATATTAAATGTTTGCATTCTGAGAAATGGTGTAGAATTATTATACTATAAATTTGTGGGAGGTTTACATAAATTATCCTTATTTTGCCTTCTGAATTTTTATATCGATTAATCGAGACATGTATTTCTAAACGCCATCTACTTTTTTCTATTGGTCTTAATTCTTGATATATGAAACCTAGATTAACAATGAGTTATGTATTTTTATCTGAATGTAAAAGCAATAAACGTAATATATTGGACACCTACTCAGGTTTAGCATTTTATTTCCTTTACCTAATATGTCGCTTTTTTTATAATGTACGATATTTACCAATGCATTGCGAACAAATAGGTGGCATGTAACAACAAATCGAGAAGGATAGCGGAATGTAAATAATGTATGTAGCAGTACAACAGACACCCAGAAAGTATTAGCGTCGAAATTAGTTCGAAACAGTAATTGAATTTAATTTTAAACGACTAGACAATCTTTTTTTTTTCTAATGCAATTAAATTAATGCGTGGTTTCTTATAAACCTAACGTATGGTCATCTATGTAAAAAATAATTTTTCTAGTAGATTACAATTAATTAGATACAAATAGCCAATGGTTTAGAATAGGGGTGTTTAATCTGCAGCTCACAATTATTTTTATTGTTATTATTTTATAATTTTTCCTAATATACTTTATGATTCAATTGCGTAGGTGATAACAGAATATTACACTGCATAGGGTAAACTTGACTTTCTATCTCCTGGAGCATGCTTATTCATTTTGACAAGTAAACAAAAAGGGAAATATTGTCATTTGCATATATTAACCTTATTAGATTCCTGTATAACGCGGTTAATATGTTGCGCGTTGTATAAAATCATGTTATATCAGAATTTTCCTCATTTAACACGAATAATATAAATAGTATGTTTGGAATAACTATTGTCATGTCCAATTTTGTTTTTTGTCCAAACAAAATAATTAAGAAAAAGAAAAATCGGTAGTAGTGGCATTAACAAACTATGTTATGCTAGACTAAAATAAACGGGGAATTCCTCATTTTGTTATATATTGCGTTATATAAAAGTCATCGCAATTTTTTTAGCGCGTTGTATTCGCGTTAAACGGGAGTTTACTGTATACTATTTTTTTTTGTACGCAGTCGAGACAAGTTAAAAAATTGAACATCCCTAATTTAGAATACTAGTAAGCTTCATCATATGGGTAATAAAATATCACATTTAGTATCATACGCAAACATTTTTATATTTCAAATTCGAACTGAATTATGCATTAATTTTCTCTTTAAGTGAAATATAAAGTTACTTACGAAAGAGCACTTTCTGAAATAATTCTGCATTACATTGCATAAATATTACTATAATGGTTGCCATGTAAACATTGACATTTGCTGGTTTTATGCACAATGTATGTAAAATACATCCGAAGTGAATCTCGCGTATATATGCAGTTATTGAGAAGTATTATATCACTTATTAAAATTTTTATTCATATTTATGCAAATTATAACAGTAATTTATTCCAACGCTCTATATTATCCATGTATACAATATTCAGCAGAGTTATAAGTACATTACGCGTAAAAAACAGTAACAATATCAATATATAATTAATTTAAGTGCTTTTTCTTTATTTTTACTTTATTAAAACAATTTATATAACTTTATTGAGCAATCATTAAAGACGTATTTTTATTTTTCTTCTTCAGAAGCAGTTATTAAAAATTTTGCAGTGTAATTAACATCATTAAACACTTTTATGTTCACGTATCGGATCATAAATGATGTATCTATCTAAAGAATATTATGTGATGTTACTTAACCCCTGGATTCTCCCGACGATCGCGATGACGTCAAGAGGTCCGCCATTGCGATTGCCGGGGGTCTTTTGAAAAACTCGTCGTATAAACTGACATTTGCTTTAAACGAAATACTTACACAATAAAAATCGGTGCATTCAAGTAACTACATCCAAGACAGCAAACAAAACCAAAATTAAACAATATAACAACATATTAAGACCTACACAAAAACAAAGCACGCGGGAGACGTTCTGGTAACACCGCGTCACCACACAAAGAAACAACCGCATGGAGAGCTACTAGCTCCTTGTGCTCTTACAACCCATAAAGAAGACAAACTCGAATACGGAATAAAGGAATAATGCACAAAACAGTTTAACAGTTTGAGTTGGCTAAGGTGTCCTAACGGATACTGCAGGCCAAAATTATAGGATAGGAATAGAAAATAGGGGGTGCAAAGCACCATCACAGAAACAACAGAAACATAACTTAACCCTTTGCTGTACGAATTAGTTCCGCAAAGTTCGGGTTGAAACGGTAGGGGGCGCGCTCGCCGAACGGGCCAAAGTGATCCGCGGAGATTTTTCGAAAACGAGCGAAAATGGTGAGTAAAGATGCTCGCAGAATGGGAATAGTACATTACATAACGAGGTATATATGTATACGAGTATATACGAAGTATATATACGTATCTAGGGAGAAACTATCGAGCTTTATGATTCATGGTGCATCATTTTGTACAAATAGAGTAATCATACTTGTCTACATATATTACACATATTTGAATTACTATTATGAACAATGGATGTTAACAAATGAATTGCAAAGAAAAATATTCTGCAAGTAATAGCTAAAAATATAGCGTTGAAATATTTGAATAGAAAAGCTTTTATACAAAGATTTGCAAAGAAGAGAAGCTCGTCATTTTATATGCAAGAAAAAGCGTGTATACATAATTTGTTTTGATTTTGAATATATGAATAATAACGAGAAATTAGTTCTACACTTTACATGCAATTACGACACCACTTAAAGTGATATGAAAGAGATCCTATACATATCTGAGAGGTTAAATCGTTCATGAAAGTATTCTCCGAATTGGGTGTACCGATTCGTTTCAAACATTACCACGTGAATACGGAGGCTCTAAGGTAGGTCCTGTAACTCAGGGAATTTTTTTATATAAAAAATGTATTTATCATGAACCAGAACCAACATGGCGGGGTCCGTGTACGTTTTTTATTTTTTACGCTGTTTGAAGGTTTAGAATCGAAAATGAAGAGTTTCAGGACCTAACTCGAACAATTTAGAATACTGTAAAAATGGAATATTACAGAGTCAGATAGGAACATATGCAAGATACATAAACCAACGATTGCGACAAACTGCTGTCCCGTGGGTAACATCTTTTTGGAGCACAAATTTAGTTGCAGTTAAACGTCACAGATGGCGACGTTGGTCCTAAGCAGTCGTAAGGGTAATGAATTCACAGGATTTCGACAGATTTATATTGATTTCTTAACGAAAATGGCACATGGAACGCTTGATTTCATATAATTCTCAACGTAGAGTGTAACAGACTTCAACATAAATAAAAAAGTTGGTAACGTGACACGTCAGTTTATGTTAAGGGGATGTGAATGTGGCATCCGAAAGGTCCATTGTTCATGAAACTTATCCACGAACTGGATGTACCGAATCGTTTCAAACTTTACAACGTGAACATGGAGACTATAAGGAAGGTCTTGACACCCATGAAGTTTTATTTTTTATACAAAATTTAGAAAATACCTATAAAAAGAGAAATGAAATGATTTGATAAACCCAGTTCAGAGAAAAGTTTCATAAATGAGACCTCTGTGTCGCCACTTTCATATCACCTTAAGGTAAAAGTGGCGACGCTATTAAGGTGATGTGAAAGTGGCGTCAAAGAGTTCTCATTCATGGAACTTTTCTCCAAACCGGGTGTACTGAATCGATTCAAACTTGACAATATGAATATAGAGGGTATAGAGAAGGTCTTGAAACTCATGTCAATTTGAATATTTTAAAAATTTGTTATAAAAAATGAAAACTCATGAGTGTCAGGACCTTCCTTATAGTTTCCATGTTCACGTTGTAAAGTTTAAAACGATTCAACGCACTCATTTCGGAGAAAGTTGACTTTTCACATGCCACTTTCACATCCCCTTAATACTTGAGTATTCAAAATGGCATTAGCACAAAAAAGGGGACAGATGAATTTGACTCTATCGACGTCGATTAAATTTCTCAACGCCTTTCATAACCTTAATCACCTTAATGCGTGCTGTAAGATTTTCCTTATCAAGTGTACTGTAATCACTTATACGTGTCGGACACGTACTACAGTTTACATAGATTATATCTTCTTTTTTATAACATGTGACATTTCGCATAGGTACGGTAATTTTAGCTAGTACATTAAAATTGAAAGTAGAATGGATAATATCAAATATACTGATTGAAAAAGGATAATATGCTATTTCTAATGATTGGTAAGATAAAAATCAAGAAGTCATCTTAAGCGGTATAATTGTTGCAGTCATAAGTTCGTGGAGAATTTGAAACGATTGTAATGGAAATGTAGATGAGATTTATCAAAATGTAATGAAGGTTTCTTAATTGTCATCGAAGCCCTTTGGTACTAATTTTCTTGTTTTATAGGGAACGTTCCGCGCTGCTTGTCCGACAAACCTGATAATAATAAGCCTAGGGAGAACTGCGTGTATTCAACAGATGAAATTCCGGCAATGCAATTGTTGAAGGACCTTCAACCAATTCTGATGCAAAAAGCTGCGGCTGCAGTCTGTGATGATACGAGGGGATCGCCTCCTTATCTAACTGACGAAGATATCGAAATGCTACAACCAGTAAAACTAGTTTGACTCTTCATCGACACGACTCAACTGTAAGTTAACCGTGTTTACAGAAGAATATCTATGCATGTTGCAGACGAACGTCAAAGTCAGAGAGGATCTGAGAAATGCTCAACTTTTGGCCTTTAAAAATCCTGAGTGGAGGATTTCTTTCATTGAATTCGATGAAAATGATTCTGGAAATGAGAAAGTCTTGGATTCGATGGTAAGGATACAACGAATTTTCATTTAAAATGCATTTCATTATTCTTACTTATTATTATTGCTGCTACATTTGTCACATATGCTATTACATTTTGATTTAATGATTTCCTTGGGTTGTGTAATGTTTTCGGTTTCTTATCGAGAAAATGTTCTGAAAGTTGAGCAGTTATTCACTCGAAATGCTGAGGCTCGGGTTCGGCTGTGTCCACCTCTCGAGATATTTAAGGTGAAGTGAAACACGTCGAGGAACTTGATCGACGTCGGTAAAGAAGATTTTTCTAAATGCCTACGTTGTCGACGTTCATTTTTATATTGGCAGCTGTGTCGAATTATATTGGGCATTGTAGTAAGTGGCATACTTCACCTGTAGTTTTCGTGCAATGATTATAAAGAAATCGGAGTAAAATTCCAGAAATCCTCTCGATTCATGGTTTCTGAGGTTCTAATTGATTGCAGAGGGATCCCCTGCGCCATCTGTGATTCCCTTGTCAACTAAAAGTTGACTTCTAGACCTCATATTACCATCGTTTTAGCGTAGAAACGCATAAGACACTTTTCTTGCCTTTATTCCGTTCAAATGCGAATTTCTCGATTACTAGAGTGTTATAAATTGCCGTACAACTGTCCTGACCCATTCGTTTCTCATATTAGAGCCTTCGATAAGTGAATATCGGTCGAAATATGAGAGCTCGACGCTATTTTGGTTTTGATCTACGCTGAGTTAAAAAAACATTTGTTAAAAAATCCAAATTTTGAAAGTGTCAGGATAATTCCTAAGTGCTCCTTAGTCACGTGTCAAAGTTTCAGACGGTTCGATCCAATAGCCTTAAATAAAAGTGTTATATTCGAGTCGACTGATTTAAGGGGGGTTTCACTTCACCTTAAATTTGTTGTATAGTGTACGATGTGAACGAGGACGAAGCGAGGAATTTTGGGTCCCGAAAATTTTCTTTTCTTTTCTAAGTTCGAAAATAATTCCGTCGTAATACCAGGAAGTACACATTACGCTAATTTGAAATACTTTCAAATTTTTTAAAGATTGTAAAAAAAGGGTTAAAAAATAGACTTTGCATTGTAAAGGTAAAATTATACCTGGGTATAATTTATACACCTGATTTTCTGAGATATATGTCATGAAAGAGAAATTGAATCAAATCTTATTCCGTTAATACTTTCTAGGAATATCTAATAAAAGTCGGTGATACACTCGGTTTAATAAGATCAATTAAACTTATAATTTTTGATGGGTCAGATAATATTTCGTTTGTTGCAGGAAAGAATAATTGAAGCTCGAACTAATCATAAACTTGGAATGGTAATTTTGAATCCTAAACTACCTTTGCAGTGTTTTATTCGGATAAAAGTATACACTGTGCTTTCTTACATGCTGATCATAAGCCTTGGTAAATTTCTTACTGACTCCTTAGTGAATGACGTTAATTAAATATGTAATTGCACGTTTATTTTTATTGGTGATTTTAATAGGATAAATGATCTTATAATTGGCGCTAGTAAAATCATTCTTTGCAGCATTCAGTCTTATTTTTTTTTCCGAAGAGTTGCAGGATAATATTTAATGTCTACCGTCATATTTATTTTGGCCTCTCAATGTCATCTACATGTTTAATTAAGGTAGAAATGAGTCTTAATTAAATAACTTCAGATATCACGATTTTGTACTCGAGTCTTGGATATTGACTGTAAATTCGTATTTTTCTTTTCCCCTTGGATACTGAATAAGTTTAATAAAATTACTTGGCTGTAACTTTACAAATAATGATTTCATTCATTTTAACGATAAGCATTAAGCGGAATTTGAATTTTATTAGTACAAAAAATACACTGAAATCTGTTACACCAAGTATGTCAAATCCAATATAATTTGGTGTGCTACAATCACATAATTTATTAATGAACAATAGTTTTTAAGAATTAGGTATAATATTCAATCAACATTATCTTATTACTTTTTCCGCTTTTAAAACGCAACCATGTTTCAAACACTTTTGTTTTAACAATGAACAATGAACAATGAATGATGAATGAACATTTACTAGTTTTTATTCTAATTTCTGGTTTTGAATAGGGGAAATAATTTTAGTTTTTTATCAGTGATGGGGAGACCGGGGCTAATTGACCAACTTTTTCGATAATGCTTATTTCTGAGCGAGATAATGAGAATTTTCGAATACTTTATACATCGGAAAGGAAAGCATACATTCAGGTATAATAAATGCAATCCAAGATTGTAAAAATCTTTTGTAAACAATTAAAGAAAAAGTTCCTCAACAGGTTGGGGTAAATTGACTCGACATAATAATAATAGATCTGTGTGATGTCCGTACACATTTTAAAAGAATAAGTTTCAAAATGACAAAATATTGTTTTTATTATTAGCAGTAACAAAATACGCATTTATAGATACGTATTAATTTTTTTAGATTTTTTAACGATTTACTTAAGCAAAATAAATAATAATAGATCTGTACGATGTCCGCACACAATTTAAAAGAATAAGTTTAAAAATGACAAAATATTGTTTTTATTATTAGCAGTAACAAAATATGCATTTATAGATACGTATTCATTTTTTTTAGATTTTTTAACGAATTAATTAAGCAAAATAAAAGTGTTTTGAAAAATTGTTTAAAAATGTTTTTTGGGTTATAGTTGGCGGGTAATCAGGATTGTATGAACGATTGGTTAACTTACGATTATTCATAAAGAAAACGGACAACACGTTGTCCAATTAAGTTAAAAAACAAAAAGTTATTAAACACTGGTCAATTTTCCCCGTGGACCATCTTGTCCCGGTCTTCCCTATTTATTGCTAACACAATTAGTATTACACTGGCAGTAAATGTCGGCAAATCTTTTACACAAATCATGTAGCCGACAAGAATATAATCCAATAGCATTCAGGGACTCTAGGAAAATGATTACGAAGTATGTTTAATTATACATTTTTGCGTATATTTCCTACTTCATTTTTGTCTAAATAATAGAATTTTTCCAAAGTTTAAATCTTTCATCATTAAGGTGATGTGAAAGTGTCGTCGAAGAGGTCTCGTTCATGAAACTTTTCCGAAGTGGATATATCAAACCCTTTCAAACTTTACAATGTGAATATAGTGGCTATAAATACGGTTTTGACGCCAATAAAATTTCTATTTTTGTAGTTTGTTTATAAACATTAAAAGAAAAATTTGTATAAAAAAGCATGAGTGTTAGAATTTTTTTTTATAGCCTTCATATTCATGTTGTAAAGTTTTAAATGATTCGGTACACTCAATTCTGAGAAAAGTTCCATGGACGATTGAACCCTAAAATGCCATTTTCACATCCCCTTAACGTGATATGAAAGGGTCTTCTGCATATCAAAACGTCAAAATATTTATTAAACTTTTCTCCACACTGGGTGCAAAGAATCATTTAAAACTTTAGCACGTGATTATGGAGACCCTAAGGAAGAACGCGATGCTCGTGATATTTCATTTTTCACCAGAAAATGAAATTTTGGTTCTAGTCTAGGCTAAATAGAAAACAATTTGTTGTCAAAAATGAAATTTCACGAGCATCGCGTTCTTTCTTAGGGTCATCATAATTACGTGTTAAAGTTTCAGATAATTCGGTGCACCCAGTTCTGAAAAAAGTTTAATAAATATTGTGACGTTTTATATATATAGAATGACCCTTTCATATCGCCTTAAGTCTTTTATGCATGTCTAGTCAAATAATCCCTAGTAGCACAAAATATTTGTCCTATATTTTCTATATATTTAACGAATATCGTACATTTTGTAAATATTCAGCAGACATTTGAAATATTTGTAAAACGTTTACTTTAGAATATTACCTCTATAATATTTATATAATATTAACTCNGTTTATAAATTATTGAAACTAAATATGTCATTGAGATTTTCAAGAAATATTTCAAATATCTTCGAACGAAATCTACAAGAAATCTTAAAAAATTTGTCGCTTGAGAGGTTCAGCAAAGATTACAAAGAAATATTTAGAAATTATTCTATGCTACTAGGGAATGTACAATTTACTAGTTGAGAATGGTGAAACAAAGCCATACAAAATAAAGCATTTCGAGAGTGTTCTTCTTATATGTAAGGTTACTTTTAACAGTCTTTTTTATGTCAATGGCGGGATATTTATAGGAATTTTGACAATTGTCGGGACTCAAAGGTTAGTACTTTGGTATCTGAGGTACAAGAAAACCACAGAGAGAGAAGTCTTTCAACTAGTCAGCGAAATTATTGGAATGGTAGAGCTGCACCATCAAAACTCGCTGATGGCTAATCCTAACAACACGAAGGAGACTTATCTTGCGATTAATCATGTCCGAGACAATCTCATTCCTCCGGAAAAACGTAAGAAGATGGTTCATCTCTGGGAGAAGGCCGTCAAATTCATTGATGAAAACGAATCCAGGTATTAGTCAAACTTCATTTGTAATAAAGTAAGGAATAGTATTCAGGTATATCAATATACAATAAGTGAGTCATGTTACATTTTTCACCATTTAGTCCTATTTTCCCAGTATCTATACAAATATCAGAAAATATTGGTTTTAAAACAAGTAATACCGTATAAAATATTTAATTAAATTGCGTTGTTATATTCTAAATTTGTTGGAATTGCTTTTATAAATTTGTTTCAAAAGGATGCTTCCGATAAGATAAGGTCTTTTGGTTGATCTTATAAATTGTGGAATGGGAAATATTTTGGTCAACTTCGTTGAAGAAAAAATATCATAGAAATTCATTATTACTTGTTTATTTACTCACAAACAAAACATACGTATAATTTTGTACGGTCGTATTTTTACAGGGTATAGTGGCGATATTATTATTAATTTACTTATTGAATTTTCTTCCTTTTGATTCTTTACAGAGAATCTTTCCATTTTAATCATTATTTTTGTTTATAATAGTTTGAATTGTATCGATTCTGTAAAGTACATTAGTATAATTTCTTAATTTTAGGCTCCGAAGGGAAGTACAGCAGGTGGCGGGAGAAGAATTTCACGTCTGGCGCTGGTTGTCGTGTAATAGTCTTAGTCCTTCTAATTCCCCAATTGCTAATAAGAAATCCAAAGTTTGGCAAGGACAAGCATTTGAGACAATGGAAGGTTCTGTTAACAGCTTGACGTACTCACCTACTCCCTGCCTAAAAATCCGGCATATGTTTGACCCAGACATGTAAGTATTTTAAAGTTGGTTCCAATTTCTTGATGATAATATGTATGACCGTAGATGCCATAAATAATGCACGAACTATCCATAATTTTAAGAGGATATGAAAGAGTCAGACTATATGTATATATGAGAAGTCAAATCATTCGTGGAAGTATTCTCTGAATTGGGTGTACGGATTCGTTTCAAATTCTACCACGTGAATATGGAGGCCCTAAAGTAAGTCCTGAAACTCATGAAATTTGATTTTTCATCAAAAACTTATTTACATACCATGGACTAGAACCAACATGGCGTGGTCCGAGTACGTTTTCGACTAACACGTGTTTTTAGAGCAAAAATTTAGTTGCAGCTAAACGTCATAGATGGCGACGTTCGTTCGTCAAAATATAAACAGTCATGAATTCATGGGATTTCGGCAGTTCTACATCAATCTGTTTATCATTACTTTCCCGAAATGACATATAGAACCCTTCAGTTCGTATAATTCTCGACGTAGACTGTAAAAGACTTCAACATAAATATAAATGTCGGTAATGGGACGCGCCAGCTTATGTTACAACTTGAGTATTCAAAACGCAATTCCCACCAAAAAGGGTATATATGAATTTTACTTTACCGGCGTCGATTAAATTTCTTAGCGCCTTTCATATCCTCTTAAGGCCCCAATAGAGGTAAGTCAGCCATTTTGAATTAATGATGTCCAAGGCGAGAAAATCACGTAATATTTCCAGCTGACATTTTACGAAACGGATGACATTTTCCAGTAAAGACTGAAACTCGAAGAAATTAGATATTCACGAAATGTGACAGCCGGTCAGATTTTGACGGATTATACACTACAAATCAAGATAGCACTTTATCAAAAGTGTCCTGTAAAAGCAAATGACGGACTTATAAATTGTAAGTCAATAATCCAACAATTACTGTAACATCACCACGAACACGGACCCGTTGACACATTTTTCACATCCACTGATTATTTCGGCATTGATGACTACGAAAATATTGGAGGACAGGTTTTCAATGCCTCAGACAGCATTTTTCAAGTCTTGAGCTTGGGACATCTACCATCAGATGGCAGACTAGAACTTCAGAAGTGCCACATAGCTGCCAATCACATATTGCACAATGTAAAACCATATTTTATTGAAGAATTGTTCTTAAAGGAGAATATTACATTATTTTCTTTATGTGCGTTTTCACACCTACGAGAGCTGAAGCGGGGAAATTTCGCACCCAAAAACGTCTATACAGGATGTACCTTGCATATCTTGAATGGATAAAATCACAGCCTCCCAAAAATATAATTTCCCTTGTGGAGCCAAATGTTTTAATTAAGTGTCAGAAAATATATAAATAACGAGTAAAAATCCATATTGGCAGCTCACGAATCTGTCATGACGGCCCAACGTGGCGTCTGACGTTATTCATTCAACACTTACGACATTGTTACACAGAATTACTAATGAAAATAAAAAAACGATCATACAGGGAAAGTTGTACCCTTGTCAACTTAGCGCTCCATCACTGACAACTGCTGTTGAATGACCAAATTCGACATTTTTGTGAACATGCGAAGCTGTGAACGAGGACGTTTATCACACAAACCGAACGAATTTCCGCTACTAGTTGTACTTCGTCACGTTGGCGCGCTGTGGAGAGTAGTCATGGTGGTACTACGAATAGACGCTGCGTCATGAGCTGTGACGTAGCAGTGACGTCACGCCAAGCGGACTCCCTTGCACTTTCACCCTTACCGCGATTTTCTCCTGCTCTCAATAGTAATGGGGTCACTATTGGTAAACAAAACGAATGACGTCACTGTTACGTCATAGGTGTTGAGTCGGCGTGTAACGTGGATTATCGCTGGCCTACGTCACGCACTCCCAATCTTATGGTCTACCCATAATGCCCTCAATGGGGAAGGCACGCACACAAGACACAGTGGTGAGACCATACGCGAGCGTGTGTCACGAAAGAGTGAGAGGGCATTTAAAGAGAGATACACGTATCACTGATAGCGAGAACGGCCATTACAAAGTAGGAGAGGCATACGTACGCGAGCGTAAATCTTATCACCTGAATGAAAATCCTGGTTTATTACTATATACTATACTATATACTATAGCAGTCGACGTAAAAAGAGGAAGATATCGAGCACCGCCTTTAGAGTTGGATGAACATGCGGTTCGCGAGCATAATTGATATCACCTGAAGGAAATGCTTCGTCTTATACTACAGTAGCTGGTAGAGTACGCTGAACCATGATGCGTCATGCCGATAAAAGGTTTAATGAGAACAAATGAAGGAAACCGGGAGAACAAGCGGAATATGCTGTTTTAATTCTATTGATATTTATTATTATTTTTCAATGAAATGATGAACATTTACATAAAGGTATAGAGTTCCTTGAAAACCGTTTCGACGAAAAATGGACGTTCCGGAGATCTTGCGTTTCTTGAGTTTCTTGAGGCCCCGATGACGATGTCTCGTAGCTGATCGCATTTTTAGCTGAAGTTGTTACGCATTATACCCAAATACACGTTGATAGCATCGGCGAATTGTTAGAGATTTCGAAATCGAAGATCCGCAGCAAACGGCAGACTCTTTAAGGGGATGTTGAAGTGACTTCTCAACAGTCAATCGTTCATGAAACTTTTCTTCAAACTAGGTGTGGTGAATCGTTTCAAACTTTACAACGTGAATATGGATGCTGTAACGAAGGTCCCGACACTCATGAAATTTCATTTTCTATAACATTTTAAAAATATCTATGAACAAATTTTTCAAAAATTGAAATTTCATGAGTTTCAGGACCTTCCGTATATCTTCAATATTTTTATTGTAAAGTTTGAATCGATTCGGTACGCTCAGATTGTAGAAAAATTTCATGAACGAGACCTCTTTGATGCCACTTTCATATGACCTTAAAACGTCGAGTGTGGGTTTCTTTAAAATGACGGTGCTTAAATTTCATTAAAAAAAAAATAGTTTATTTATCCTAGACTAGAACTAAGATCAGATTTTTTGTGAAAAACTGAAATTTCACGAGCTTCGCGTTCTTCCTTAAGGCCTTCATAATCATGCGCTGAAGTTTCAAATGATTCGATTCACTCAGTTTTGAGAAAACTTTTATAAATATTTTGACGTTTTATATATATATAGAACGACCTTTTCATATCACCTTAATATTTTCATAAGATTTACCCTACTTGTTTCTAAATTCCTGACATATTGGTTATGATTATCGTTGAATTGTATCGGTACTGTGTCTTAACAAATATCGCACGTAGCTATTTATTTATTTATTTATTGAGTCATGACCTCGATAACAAAAATAGATACCTTTTAATTATTTGTACCGTAACGGAGTTTTTACATTATTCCTTTTTTTAAAGTGAATTCGAGGACGACTGGGAAGTCAAAGTACAGGATGCGATTCTCGAAAAATGCGGAGAAGCTGTTGGAATTCTCCACATTCGAGTAGATCGCGGCAGCAGAGAAGGATGTGTTTACATGAAGTGTATGTCCCAAGAAGACGCTGGTAAAGCTTATAGAGCTTTACATGGCTGTTGGTTTGATGGTAAATCCCTAAAATTATTGAATTGCAGTTTGATTGGTTGAGACTTACTATAAATTTAATCAGAAGTTGTTTGGAATTTTAAACTTTTAAGGTGAAGTGAAACACGTCGAGGAACTTGATCGACGTCGGTAAAGAAGATTTTTCTAAATACCTACGTTGTCGACGTCCATTTTTATATTGACAACTGTGTCGAATTATATTGGGTATTGTACTAAATGGCATATTCCACTTATCGTTTTCGTACAATAATTATAAAGAAATCGAAGTAAAACTCCAGAAATCCTCTGGATCCGTGATTTCTGAGTGCCTAGTTAACCGCAGAGGGACACCTTGTGCCATCTGTGATTTTCAAGTCAATTAAATTTTCACTCCGAAACTTCGTATTACCATCGTTTTAGCATAGAAGCGCATAAGACACTTTTTTTGCCTTTATCCCGTTCAAATGCGAGTTTCTCAATTACCAGAGTGTTCTAGATTGTCGTAAAATTGTCCTGACACTTTCGTTTCTCATATTAGAGCCTTCAATAATTGAATATCGAACGAAATGGGCGAGCTCGATGCCATTTTGGTTCTGGTCTGGGCTAATTTAACAAATTTTTTTAAAACATCCAAATTTTGAGTGTCAGGATAATTCCTAGGTGCTCACAAGTGTCATGTGTCAAAGTTTTAAACGGTTCGATCCAATACCCTTAAAAAAAGTGTCTTAATCGAATCGACTGATTTGAGAGAGGTTTCACTTCACCTTAAATTATATCACCTGAGTCTTTGTTATTTATATAGTTGTTATGGTATTTATAAAACATCATTTGGGTGTCGAGACAATTGTTGTACAATTTGAACGTTGGGCTTATTTCTTGGAATTGAATAATGTTTTAGGACACTTGGTCACTGTGAAGTACCTGCGATTGGAACGGTATCACGAGCGATTTCCAGATGCCATTCACTGCTCCATCCCTTTAAAGCCAAGCAACAATCAACAGCTCTCTATGCAAGCGCACTACACGGTTTACGCTAACAAGAACAACGATAACTGTCCTGTGCCTTGAAATAGTGCTGTATCTTTTTCGTGATTAATGAGATCCGATTGATTAGGATCTACGAGACTATTGACCTCCTGCGCGGAACCCGAGTTCTAACAAGAATGTATCTTGAAGTTTGCAGAAACCATACTCGTATAAGTCTAGGGATCGGTCACTAATTATCGTATCACCATGTTTTTCATGTCCTTAGACACTACAGGGTATCAGGAAATTCATAGTAAGAAGAGAAACAGCATTATTATACACAGAGATGATCGGAGAGATGTTTCACGTCATTGTTTGAAAGGGAGGCACGGCCCGCTGGCGCCCTCTACACCTGTTACACCTCTGTAAAAATTGGAACTACTTTCAAAGGGGAGAAATCTTCGTCATCGGTAAAACAGGGTATACGTGGGTGCTGCGTCGTAATCTCAATCATCCAAGCGTAACAACTTTATTTGGTATTCGTAGTCTTCTTTCCCAACCTACGTTGACCCTGATACTAACAACGAAAAGGTGATAACTTAATTCTGTCGATGCTGTGCTCTATTTGAAATCTGCAGACGCGTTTTTCTTTACCGATAGAGAACATTTCGCCCCTTTGAAAGCAGTTACACGACGCTAGGGAGCCGTGTAACTTTTCGACAATGGCGTGAAACATCTCCCCGTTCATCTCTGTTATACATAACCCATCGACAATGGGATTACATGTAACGGGGTTATGTTTTTTCTTTAATATCGAATTAACCTGGCTCGTAAGTCAGCTAATAAATAATGCTGAAGTAAAATGGCGCAGGGTTTTCCGAATTTCTGGATATCCCGTATATGTATATGTGGACTAAGCATTCCACTTATTTATGTATGACAGAGTGAAGTTCATGTTGGGCCACGCGATGAAAGGCACATATAATTAACCCCTTGCAGTAATTTCATTGGTCTGACTCGCGATAAAAATGTTGAGTTAAACATGAACATCGCGAGTCAGACTCTCGTGATCACGATTTTTTATGAAAAGAATTTTTTTAATTCGTTCTACGAGTATCTTTCCTCTCAATTTCGACTCGTTTTCCGAAAATCTTTCAGGATCACTTTAGTTCGGATTTCCCCGGACTAATTTGTACGGCAAGGGGTTAAGTATATGCGTGGCACTTGATATACCTTCCTTATATGTATAAAAATAATCGATACATGTTTATTATAATAAACTTATGACACATTTTCCCAGAACAGAAATTAGATAATTATAACTTCAGTGACTTGTGTACATTTTTAGTTATATTCTCACTCCAATATCTTTATAAAGTAGTATCATGTCTTTTGACGGGCGTACGGTACAACAATGAATGATTCACACTTCTTTTTAAGGAATGTTATATGTTCATGTATATATCGTCTAAGTTGATATCGCGTAATTTTATATAATGAACACTTAGTATGTCTCCACTATATAGTAATACTTTTCGGACATTTAAGTTTATCCTCGAGTTTTATAAGAAACATAACAGATATCATTTCTTTAAGCTCTTCTTTGTAAACATTATTTTAGACCACTGACATGTTTTAAAGCAATGAAATACCAGTTAGTAGAATGTTGACAAGTCGTAAGTCTGTGTATATGTACTGTTTCAGGATTTTTTCCCTTTCGTATGTACAAAATGTTAATAAATGTTGTCAGTAGCCATCAAAAGTATGTTCCGAGATGGATATTATCATCTGTTAATTTAAAAGATAGGAAGGATTGCGGGTATTAACCCTTTACACTCGATAAACGACTGCCGGTCGCTACAGGCATCTTCGAGTACAAATAGTTCCAAGTTTTAACGTTAGAGGACTTACGATGTAAACTTTCTACTAGACGAAGCATTTCTAGAAAGCGTGCATGGCTCGTCATCAAACTCGTCTTGTAAATTATAAATCATCCGTGCACCTAATGAGCTAATTTACGTATTAACCGAAAAGGCTGTAACTGCACTTTCCAATGGGTGTAACGATCTGCCTTACCCTCGCGCAATAATGGAAAATATTTTAGACAAGTATTTCATTCATTGAAATAAGGAACTTTCAGAAGAAATATTTTCTTGTACCATGGACCGTAAAAAGAGACGATTACGTTTATCTTATTCGATACTAAGTACAGTTACAATCTGTTAGCGAATAATCGGACTAATATTTTTGAAGCACTGTCAAACTTGGTTAATTTGCGGACTTAGTAAATTGTGATTGCAGTAGAGGAATTTTTATCATCTACATCGTTACTCCGGCTTAAAGCAAGAATGTTTCAATGAGTTTAAAACCATGTACCGATAAGGAACGTAGGCACTATATGATCGTTTTCACTACGGAATTAGGTGATCTAATGTACAACAAAGAACCACATAATTGTAACAGGATCTGCCTTAAACAGTAACGATGAGCACTTTGAAATGGCCTTCCATTTTCTTGGATGGAATTGTGTCGAAAAATCGTATTAGTTTCATGCTCAAGCGAATATGCCGAATTGTGAATAACGCGTTGGTAGATTAAGCCATGTACACGCTTTATCTTTGTCAAGGCATCCACTAAAGTAAACTATTATAAGGATCGTCCATGTAGATAACTGAAAGAAAAGCTGTACCTTACGCGCATTCACCTGCGAACGCACGAATATGCACTTGTGGGTGCATTGCGTATGTTAACATGTGTGTATGTCACACTTGGCGGAAATATAAGCCCGCCACGCATAGAAAACAATAAAGAAAGAGGTATCGCAAGCGAGATTGGGATGATTTTAATAGCAAGCTTGCGATTGATTTCCCATGTCTGTTATTTTATAAATTTTTCTATGTGCAGCGGGCTCTATACTTAAATGATAATACACGCCTCCATGTGAATGCGAACGCTAATGCATATCGCATAGTTGAAAGTTAAGATAGAACAATTAAGAGCAAACTATATATGAAACTGGCGGCTAAGTTATGAAATGAACTATCAATAAAGTACATATTTGTCTACTTAGGTCTTTAATATAATCCGGTACAATACAACCGTATGGTTAGTAAGAACACTAGTTTTCCTTTTCGCCGCTAGAGGTCAGGTCTGCTAATGGTTCGTTATGATGCAATGGATTTGCGTAACGGTACCTTATTCATTTTTATAATTAGCACAGGCACAGCCTGGTCGTTATTATTTCTTTTCATTCCGAAGGCATACAATAAGGATGTAATTCTGAGGTTAGTAATTTCAATCTGCCTTTTTGCTAGAGCTACTCATTAGAATAACCCTAAATAGTAAGAAATAGTTGTAATAATATTTAGCACAAATATGAACTAATAACCTTTTATAATGTACATCGTGTATACAAGGTGTTCAAAGATTTGTGTCCATTAACCTATTAATCGGGGAATTAACTTTTGTACACAACTCGTTTCGCAATGGGGAATTTTTTTCTTCGCCTAATTTCCATGACGAAAAAAGTCGTCATGCCCATTTGAGTTGTCTTTCTGTTATGACGAAAAATTTCGTTACACCCAGTTAACAGGTTTAAATATGGACAAGATTTCTCACAAGTCGGGCCGGAGCGGTGGCGGTAAGTACCGAATTTGGTTATTTTATCATAGCATCGGTTGGCGACTCCCGGGGTCATTCTGGGCGATCATTAGTTGCAAGTATTTGTTGTGTTTATAAGTTTCATTATAGGGATTGTTATATACCGTGCTTTCGAGGCCGATAAGATTTGATATTTTGTCCCTATCGGTTCGAGTTGAGAAGAATTATTTTGGGAAGGAATTGCCATTTAGCGAGCAACAGACGGAATCTACAATAGAAGAAATTCGGGCATTTAACTGCGCCGCAATATCCTTCCCAAGACCTAGCGAAAACGCCGTTAATAGGTGGCGTGTCGCGGAATCCGTAAAAGAGTTTTTCCGAAATTCGGTGGTCCTGCCGATCCTTGGGGCTCATCGTCTAGAATGCTCCGAGCGTCGCCAGTGCTACCGATTGCCACTCTACTACCATTGCTGGCGTTACTTTTCCGCCTCCGACTGATTTGGTGGGCAAACCCAATATAGGTTTCTGTAGAAGTCCGTCTCTGCTGCAGTTTTAAATAAAGTGTAACCCGAAAGACCCTCCTCGACCCGCGGCCCACCTTCCGCTCTCTTTCGTTACCGCGTAGCGCCTAATGATAGGATACGAGGTATTAATTTGTGACTTTTACCGCCGCTTTCTTATTTCGCTCGGAGTTCTTTTACCGCGGGTAAATATCGATTGTTGTGTTTCGTTGATGACCCCCCGGTTTATCGATATCGACCAGCCCGGCTAGTAGACGTCCGTGTATCGTTGGAGTCCGCGCGGAATTAGTTTTGGGCTTTGTACCCAGTTTGTCTTCCAGAAAAAGAAAAGAATATTGATTGATATTTCTAAATTATCACATATTCTGTCCATTGATAATCCGATATAATTGCATTATCACTTTGTATAAAAAAAAAAGACAAATTCATAGCCTGATATTATTTCACCTTCGAAAACATTACGAACCTTCCTCGAAATAACTAGCTGTCATCTCCTTCATTTGAAAAAAACTACAACAAACCTTCAGAAGTATCAATAGTAATTGTAATGAGTCGTGTGCCTCGGATTTGTGCGCCTGCATCCGAGGCATACGACTCGCACAAACAGTGCGGATGAGCTCCGCAGCGCGGCGGCAACCGAGTAGTACGCGCCGCGGCCGCTAGGCGGCTACCCACGGCCCACGTCTCTCGCAGACGCACGAGCTTCACGGAACCTCTATATGGTGTCAGAAAAAAGAGCACAACTAGACGTAGAAAGGGAAGAAACCTACCTACACATAGACCTTCAAATTAATTCGGAAGAAGAGATCTCGAATCGTTATAGGCGCAAATTCACGTCTCCGTCTAATTGTAACCTATACCGTCGTGTCGTCTCTCCTGGCCCGGGAGTTCGAACCATAAGACCAGGTAGATGGTTACCGTTACCGTAGTTGAATACTAAGCAATATCATTACAAATATTAGTCAATTAATTCCTTGTATTTCATATTAACACTTTACCGACCGGAAGCCTATTAATCGGTTTTGCGATCCCTGTGATCGCCATTACTTCCAAATTCGCCGGTCGGTAAAGTGTTAATCATTGTAGATAATTAAACCTTTCGATACCTTTCTGTTAGGCGACAATTAGGATTAAGCATGTTGTCATATGTATCCGGTCTGTTTTCAGTGACGCTGACAAGTTTAAAACATTTTAACCTGTACAAGGTAAGTGTACCAGTGGCCGAACGCCACTTCAAGTAATTCCCTTTATAAAGCATTTCATGAATGTAATTGCAATCGAAAAAACTGTAAGAGGACCGTCAATATTTAAGCTTTTTAGCTTTTGACGTCTTTTTGGAAACAGTTACAGCTTATCTTGTTCAGGAAGAAACAGAGTATCTCATGCAGCTGTTTATTTTCGTGCAAAACTAAAATTAGCGATATAATCTTCGCGTTCGGGACAGACAAAATATACAATGTACCTGTATCAGAACGCTGTTCGAATACATCCGGACGTGCGTGGTGGGGTGGTCTAGTAACAACGTTGTGTAATTCCGTATTGGGATCGCCGTTTTACGAAGTTCCAATTAAATGAAATTAAAGAATTACCGTTAATCGTCTATCGTTATACGCTGGGGTGTGGCACTTCAGGATAAATGCGCATTGCCTCCACCTATGGAGCAGCAATACTCATTGTTACCCTTGCTCGCCACCCTTGCTCCCATGCACGAGGACGTTCCGCCGTGATGCTTTCACAGTCGGAAACAACTCCACCAAGGGATCGAACACCTTAACCACTTGCGGTGGAAAGACGTGGCACGCACGTCAACATGCTTTTGTTACCGGAACGTCAGCGACGTGTTACGCACGTCGGCCGCTGAACGCTGCCTGAACGCACCGCGGTGATTCCCGCTCGACTGTTCTGGCACGCGCAACCGAGAATTTCTTTGCACCGCAAGTGGTTAACGAGCCTTCTTCCAATCGGTTGCCCGTTCGAAATCGAAACAATTTCGAATTGGCCAAGGAATCTTCGAGCAGGTCCATCGAGGAAGAAACGCGGACTCGGGGTCCGGAAAAAGAAGTTAGTCAACCGGGATCGACGAAGGCGTCTTAACCTACATTCCAGTATCGGTGAAACCCACCCCCAGGACGTAGAGGAGCATTATCCGTAGTTTTATTATCGTTTTCTAATTATTCATAATCATCCCAATAATCAGTATTTCTCTTAGTTTGCGTTTATTTTGTTTCCCTCTGTTTATTTTCTCCATTTCACTGAGCGATCGTGTGTTAGGGTGTGCCAGGGCGACACGGCCATGATCACCATCATCCCTAGGATAATAGGAAGGAGGATAATATAGAGAATAATATCCGAAAAACAGCTCGGTAAGTATTCTTCTTTGATAATATATGTTTAATAGACCTTGTAGCATATGCAATATATATTAAAAAAGTTGTTTATTTTATTAATTTAGGGGATACATTGCTTTTGATATCTGTTATAGAGGTGCTAAGCGAATTTGAATAGGATTATTTGTTTCTAAGCTTGAAATTATAAAAGTGATAAGCCCCTGAGCAGCTAAGAAATTGTTGGAAATGTTTCTTCAGCCTTCTGAGAGAAAAATCCAGATCCATGGGCGTTTGTAATCTACGTCTCTTGGTGTTCGAACACTGAGATGTAATAAATAATGGCTGTTTGGACCCTGGTACATTCGACTTTTCTTTACTTCTCGCGACACAAATAATAAATTATTCAATATTTCTATGTACATAGCATGTGTTTTGGAAACTAGAAATCCTAATCTTTTCGTTCATTTAAGTCATTTGTACCTCGTATCGGTCTTTATATGTTAAATCTTTATCGGAATCTGAACGACGTTCTTAGATGTTCGGCCACTGGTACACTTACCTTACCAACGGCTTCTTAAAGTAATGAAATCGATTACCGCGAGACAAGTACAGACAAAGCTTGATTAATAATCGTTTTATTTTTTCACGTTCTTACTTACATTTTGGCATATTTTAATAAATATTGTAATAATTTAATAATTTTAATAAAGACACCAAAATGTAAGTAAAAACGTGAGGTCTGAATGTAAATAAAATGGCGGAGCTAGGAAAGTAGCCAAAAGTAACCGAAGGTAGCCAAGTATGTAGCATTTTTTTGCTTTCTTCTCTGCACATATCAAAGTTGTATGAAAATCGGAGGGGATCACCCTTTTATGCATAATTACCATATCTTTCAACACTAACGACGGATGACGCAATACCATAGCCCTGTCGTTAAAGTTGTAATGAAGCATTTGCTACATGCACACCTCTAAGAAAACTTGCATTTCTAGATAGATTCTGACAATCTTACATTTGCACGTTTCACTTATATAAACTGAATATAAAATCACGTTCCTGGATTCCAGAGATATAATGGAAGATAAATAAAAATTGTTCGCAAATAATACGTTTGAATTGCTTATTTAATATGCGGACATATATAAAACGTATATCTGCATAAGCATTTATCTTCATATTACACGTAGGTAGCAATTTTCATGAATTTTTTACAAGAAAACTATTGTTGATGTTCAAATCGTTTCTTTTTTTAATATGGAGAGGCATCCTTAAAATTTAAAGAAATATTTTTTTCTTTTTATTTTCTTTATGTATCTGCAAATAGGATATAATTATCTCAGCCACTTCCGGTAGCACAGCGGCTGTCGGTGGGCGGTGTAGCACCTGTCACATTCATCTGAATGCCAAAAGTAAAATATTTTCTTAAAACTAAATAGTTCGCACAGGGTGTTAACCTATTTCATGAAGAATATTCGTAAAATTGACAAACTTTTAGCGTTTGGAATAAAAATGAATTCTTGTAGGCAAAAAAAATCGTCTTTAGTTTGCTGATAAAAATGTTACAAGTGAATAATACCGTTGATATTAGAGTTTCATCCCGTGGAGAAATGTATTAGG